GACAATTTAGAATCACCAACTAACCTCAACGTGTTTCTGGACTGTGTGGGAGGAACCTGGAGAACCCAGAGGGAACCCACGCTGCACGTGGATAACATGAAGACTCCATTCAGAAAGATCCCAGGCGTCCTAACTGGAACAAACCGGGGATCTTCTAGCTGTGAGGCGATGTTGCTAATCACCAAGCTACCTTGCAGCCCCTCTAAATGACCAGCTCCATCTTACCTTACAGACCTAATTGTACCGTGTCATCCTAACAGAGCCCTTTGCTCTCAGACTGCAGGTCTACTTGTGGTTCCAGAGTTTCCAGAAGCAGAATGGGAGGCAGAGCCTTCAGTTATCAGCTCCTTTGTTGTGGAATCAGCTCCTAGTTTGGGTTCTGGAGGCAGACACCCTCTCTACTTTAAGGTTACGATTAAAACTCTCCTCTTTAATAAAGCTGATAGTTAGAATTGCGAATTGTGACTTGCCGTATATAAATAAAATTGAATTCAAATAGTCCATAGTCCAATATGACAACTTGCCAGTTCCTTTGATCTAAAAATGTTGCAAGGTCTGTCTTACTGTTATGATCCATTAAAATAATGCATTTACTATTAGTTCTCTAAGTTTAGAATTGAGAAATACACATCAAATGCCAATTAATTACTACACAATACAATGCAAAAGACATTCAAACTGAACAGTTTCTGTTACAAAACACAGTGGATTGAAGACTAAAATAAATTCAGTGTCACCATTTAAGAAAAACACCCTTTACTTTGTTGTGTCAGTGCCGTGGCAGTAGCTTTCATGGTGCTTCATAATGCAGCTCCCTAAACGTTAAGTGATACGTTTTAGAAATGTCATGAAGCAACCCTCCAAGGAGACCATTGTGGTGCTTTTTAACAAGCCATTCGTTCCACTCAATAACATAGAGGTGCTCACCTGATCAGATGCACTAGCATTATCATCTGACTGTGTTTACAACTGTATATTATTATTGTAGTAAAAAATTGAGATGATCTTCATTACCTGTAGGTTTAACCAGGAATAAATGTTGTGTTAATGTTATGCATGAATGAAGCATTTACAACATCATTTGGTAATACACTGTGTATAGTTTATTAACACATTTAAAAATTACTTGTTAGTTATCTACTCATATCAGTTAATGTCTTGTAGGGGCTCGTAAATATTTAATGAACTACTTTGTAAAATTGGATAACACCAGATGTACAGAGTTAAACTGAAAACTACAATATTGCACGTCTGTTAGTAAGCTTTAGCATTGTTGGAAGATATTTCTAGATTCTGATGTTTTCTTCTTCTTCCTTCAATTATGCTAAGCTAACCTACTTGCTTCCTTGCTCTACCACAGAGTTAAAACAGAAAATAAAATAACAGATTCTGCTGTTTTCATGTCTGTGAGGTCAATTGTAACAAAACATATTAACAGTAAAAGAGCTGTTGCTTGCTGGGAGCGTTCCTCCTGTCTGCTGGCTGTGAAGTGACCCTGTAGTCAATATGTATGATTGTTAACTATAAAAAGGTCCATGCAAAGTTTACAGTATAGGATGTTTCAAAGGTCTGACTTACACAACAAAAAAACTTAGCTGCTCCAGTACTAAATTATTCCACTGTAACTCAGGAGGGAACTCAACATAGAAAGGTACACTTCACTGCCACAGTTTTGCTTCAAACTGTTGAAGTCTAACATTAGCGTTCAGATAAATGCAAGCATGCACCTCTGCACGGAGCAGTGCAGGGTTTGTCCCATGTCTGGTTTTTCTACTCACTTGTGGAGTGTTGAAGTGATCACAACTTATTTTCAGTGTAAACATGAGCATGTAAGTGTTGTATGAAGACCTACCCTGTGATGCACATGCAAAAGGAAACCATTTGGAATCCTGATATTGTAACTTCATGTCATTATTTTTGACTTACTGTCTGTTTATGAGATAAGATCCAGAGTTCACAATAGGAGAAAACTACCTCATACTCATAAGAATCTGATGAATCAGAATCCAGTTTTGTGTAGTGAGTGGTGCTGTAGTTAACCAGCTGTAACTTAAGCTTGTATCAGTTTTCAAATCAAACCTTTAGTCTACGTGAAAACAGAGGGTGAAGTTTGGATTCAGTGGTATACTGTATGATTAGAAACTCACGTCAGGGATCGTTGCTGCCTGTAACTCACCCTTTCCCAGTCCATAAGTGTGTGCGCATGTATGTGTGTTTTCTAGTCTGCCTGTGTCACTGAGTGGCTTCCTGCCTGTCAGGAGCTTACCATTTCAAATGACACCTGCCACCTCCACCTGAGACTTAAGGCCACTCCATGCCATGAATTAGACCAATTTAGCTGGTCTGTAGTAGTGAGCCGCAAAAAAATAAAAAAAAGCCATCAAAAACACACGCCCAAAGAAATGAAGAAAACAAATGGTTTATTTTTTTTCCAGAATGCTTCTGAAGTTTTTCAACCCCAAATTAAATAAATCAGCAATAATTTATTTTAATACAAAAATCCATAGCCCAGCAAGAAGACAAACAACAAACAAGGCACACCGTGTTTCAAGTACTAAGCCTACCACTGACACATAGTAAATACACACAAAATGTGGTCCTTTTGTAAAGATAGCAGGATGTAGTCTCAACACTTCCACCATTAAAAGGAAATGATCCCAGAACTGCTGATATACATTCATGTTACATTAACAGACTTTTGTATTTTGTGGCTAGACAATAAATTACCATAATATATTAATAAATATTAAACAAACCCGGAAAAAAATCACTAAACATTAGCGATGCGTATTGTCTTCATTTCATGATTTGGACTGAAATGTGACAAAGAGCTGACTGTTTACAAGATTACAAATTGGAAGAAGAGTTAAATGCACTGATAATCCTATTCTAAGAACTTTTATACAACAACTTGTCAACATTGCACTGTAAAATATAACCCTAAGGTGTGACAACTTTACATTCATAATATCTCAACCCCCCACTCCCACAATGGTAAACACATTATTATCTGGAGTTATTATATAAAAATAAAGCTTTGGTGACTTCATTTAATAACACAATTGGAAAAAGCTTATCAGAAACCACCACAAAACGAATAGAAAAAGGTTAAATCGCTTGCAAAATAAGTAGTCTCTTATTTAAATTACACCGCAATCCCATAATCTCTTTGGTAAGGCAAAGGTGACACTGAAACAGCAACTTCCACAGAACACAGGACACTTAGAGTGGTCAACATTCATTTAAATAGTAGAAAGAGAAACATTGGGGTACTTTCATGTCATATAGAAACACACAGTGTACTGAAAGTTTAAAAGCACCTGCTCAAAGGTGAGAACATGGGACGCTACTAACATTTCCAACAGCTTAAACAGTCAGTCCACATAATTACAGACAAACATGCAATGCTTCTTCTTTTCTCTCTAATGCAGTCTATTCATGCAGATAGATTTAGTTCAATTTGTGCAGGTGGAGGTATGCACCTTGAAAGTTGTACGTCAGAAGATATCAAGAAATGGTATTGTAAAAAAAAATCTTCAGTGGTAGAAGTGCTTTTGCATGGATAATAAATACTTGGTGTAGTATAATATGCAGTACAATTACACCAAATTATGAATGTTGTCATGTATTTTTGCAACTGAATAAAGAGAAGGAAACTAGTACAGTAGCATTATTAATTTGGCTACTGCAGGTTCTCATGCTCGTTAACATGTAGTGCACAAACAATAAAAATGAATTAGTTTCTAATCAAATATAGTTGTCTGCTCTAACAAGCCATTAGTTACTGCTGCATCCATCCATCTTTAGTCACTGTTTGGCTACATGCATGCTGCAATAACAGTTGTGAGTAGCAGGTAATGTTTTTGTACAAGTAAAACTTTTTGATTTGCAAAAACCTGCAAGTTTGTGGCAAATTTTACTGGATCTAGCAAGGTTCTCAAATTCTGATGATCGTATTCTTAATCAGTACCAAGAATGCCAATTGTTCACTGTTTTTCAAGCTGTCAAAGACCTGACCTTTGTGAGCTGCTTAAAATCAGAGATGTGGGAGTGATTTGAAGGTCTGAATCCAGAATAGCTCCTACCATGATCCCACTGAAGGGCCCTAGTATAAAATTATAAATGGCTCCTTATGTATAACAGTTAAGATGATTAAGTTAAGATATAAACTGGACTGGTAAGGTGACAGATGTCTGGTTAGAGTCTGATGACTTTGTAAGCATAAGAATCCATAAGAATACAGTTGTGGAAGTTGCTATTTCAAAGACTGCTACTTAAATAAATGTTGCCTTTAGTATATCTGAAGTCCCAATACACATGTCAAATGAAGATTTACAGAAAGTGAGTTCATGTTTAAGCTGAGCTCAAGAGCTGAAAAGGCGACAGAAAAGATGAGTACATGTGCATTCTTGTGTGCAAATACAGTAAGTGCAGACAATAACTCATCTGAAGTTTGTTGCTGATCTGTTTGGTGCACCAGCCGAAATCCCAGTTGCTCCTCTGTGATGCTTCCGTGTACAGCAGCATGTTTGTATGCTCACAGACACACATGTTGGTTTATTATCATGTATCTATGTGAACATTATTATGTCCAGTCCAGTCATTGACTCAGACATAGACAAGTGGTTTCAACGCACTTTGTGTGTGTGTGTGTGTGTGTGTGTGTGTGTGTGTGTGTGTGTGTGTGTG